AAAGAGTTTACATTGGAAGGAAAAGAAAGTCTTCTCTGATTCTCGGCTCATTCATTCAAGCAGAGACCAGAAGGATCAGCATATAAACTCGCATAGATTTTTCCTTTTCTCTTAGTCTGCTAATTATTGCTTACAGAAGTTAGAGTGGATGACTTATAAAGGATAGGATTTATCTGAATCATGATTCTGGAGGCTGGAAAGCCATGCCTGGAAAGGAGTGAGGCAGCAAAACAACATGGTCGGAAGAAGCAAAGAGGATATCTGACATGTGCAGAGAAACCACCCTATGGGTAGCCATCTTCCTTTCCTATCAATACACTATTGCAAGAATTGATCCTATCTTACCACAGGGAGAACTCACTGGGTCTCTGGCGACATCATTAGTCCATTCATGAGAGTGATGCCTCTGTGATCTAATCACCATCCGCTAGGTCTTAACTTTTTACATCTAATATTGCTTAGGATATTTTATTAGTATTCAGAATATTTAAATATAGTTCATTTTAATAATATTCTCTTTATGAGTTCTTCCTTTATATGTAATGATTATAAACTGTCTTAATATCAGGGAGAGCTCTCTCTCCCTCCCTCTCTCTCTCTACATATATATATATATATAATACTTCATTAATTGACTCTTAAATTACATATATCCCATTGCTGCATTTAATTTTTTTTCTTTTTTTTTTAAGTATTTGCTAGAAGGCATGTGGGCTCAACAGAGAGAAAGAGAGAGAAAGAAAAAAAGAAAAAGACAGTGAGAAAGCACCTCACTTTCCATGGGTAAATGGTCATGCCACAATCCTTTCTCCATTTCTCCTTTCAGGATTTGGGGTATGTGCATACATGTGTCTGGCATATTTTTCAAGTGGCTGAGTCTGGGACTAGAACCAGCTTTGTTGGTTTTGTGGGATCCAGCTGCTCTAACCACCACCTCACTGGCAGGCCCTGACACAATTTTATATCTAATGAATGGTCATACAAATTAATGGCTTTTGCCTCAGGGTATTCTTTATTTTGTGACTTTTATAACTATGCCCAGACAGTTAGCAGTTTTTGTAGTTTTGTATATTTTAGTGACTGGTAGGATGAGCATTATATATTCCAATTCTCTTTGGTCAACTCTAAAGAATGATATTTTTAAAACTATAACAAACCTTTTTTGATTACTTCTGGAATATACACACAAAATGTGATTCCTTCATGGCCATCATTAATTCACTGTCATTTCAAATACATCTTGTTGCTCTCTCAGGAGAAAAAGATACTGCTAATCTGAGGATACCACAATACAAACCACTGTAACTGATACAATGCAGCTATGTACATCGGCCATCCAGACTGCTCCAATAGCAATCACAATTTGCTTTACCAATTTCATCGTAAAAGTATGAAGCACAGAGATCCCGTCTGAGGAGGACCAAGGTGAGAGGGCACAAAGTTCTAAAATAATTCTTAAGCAGTTTAAGAGAAACTTGGCCACGTTTATTTGCCAAAGCCTCTCAAGTACCCACATCCAACTTTCTAATTTTATATTGTTTACTTTTTCCCTACCACTTGATTTCTTGGCATCTGCTACTCAGAGATACTTGAGATTTCACTAATGTGACAAGTGTTTTAAGCATTACCCACATCTCACGCCGTTTCCGCACAATTACCTCGTGAAGTCTGTCATCTCCATCATGATCATACACATCTTTTTGGCCAGGACAATGATATCGTTGCTCGTGTCATCCCATATCTCAATCTCGGCATCCAGTTTACTCTTTACTTTCTTGAAATCAGCAACTTGCTCAGCAATCTTTTCCTTTTCTGCCTCAGGCAGCTGAGTCATCTTAGCCTAAAACATGTGATAATTAGATTTAAAATCATTCTACCATGTCAGAAGAATTTTAGGAAGAAGTGGTCATTATAGGATATTCATAAACCTTTTTCACTTAAAATCAGAGACACTTCATTGTTTAAATCATTCAATCAAAACTTTCCAGATTTTTTGATTTCAAAAAAATCTTTTAAATTATAACTATTTGCTCTAGAACTATAAAATTACATCTGAGAATAGAAATGTAGGTTTTGGTGTCCAGCATACTTACATCTACTCCTTAAAATAAATATGGGACTTGGGACCAGCAGATGGTGTAATGGTAATGTCACTGGACTTCCATGTAGTTGGCCAAAATTCAAATCCTAGACCACGGTGACTTAAAACTCCTGCTGGGCATGTGTAAATGCATGCCCAAAAACCCGAGAGGAGAATGGAGGAGAAGGGATTATGGCATGACCAACCCCAGTGGGGGAGGGGGTGATTTCTCACTTTTTGTCTCTCTATCTCTCAGTGCTATCCCCTATAGCAAAAATTTCTTTCAAAAAAAAAGGAATAAAATAAATATGGGACTCTACATAAATAGTTAACACATTAAAATTTTATTATTTTTTTCTTTTTTTTTTTTGGAGAAGTTTTTGCTCTAGGGCACGTGCATTCACCAGAAAGACAGAGAGAGACATAGAGACAGAAAGCAAGAAATCACCCCCCAGGGGGGATGGCCACACCGCAATCCCTTCTCCTCCATTCTCCTCTCGGGATCTTGGGCATGCACGCACACACTCCTGGCGTGAGTTTAAGCCACCAGGTCTGAGACATGAACTGCGGTCAACTACATGGGAGTCCAGTGACACAGCCATTATGCTAACTGCTGGTCTGAACACATTAAAACTTTAAATCACATATAAATAGATCACTATATTAACTCTTAATATACATTGGTAAAGTATAACAGTATACACTTATAAATCACATGTGTATAGATGAGTGTACATGAAATCATAAGAATGTATGTATATTTTATGCATATAAATATATTCGTGTGTGTGTGTGTGTGTGTGTGTGTGTGTGTGTGTATGTATGCACAAAGTGTTATGGAGGAAGAGTAAAAATGTTACAGGCAGATATGATTAAGGCAGCCATCTCTGTTCAAAACCAGGTCTTGAGGTGCATGATCAACTTAACATGGATCGGCATTATGACTTTCTTTGGACACATTGCATTTTGAACAGTATATAGATTGTGTTTTTCATTCATAATCTGGAATGTGGGATGAATAGAAGACCATGTTTACCCCTAAACTACCATATTTACAACCTCAGCACCTAGGACCTATGACTTTCTGCCAAATGACAAAGAATCCTGCGACCAGCCAAAGGTGTAGCAGTTAGGTCTCTAGACACCCACATGGCTGACTGCTGCTCAAGTCCTGGATGTGGTGACTTGAAAATCACACCAGGCACAGGTGCGTGCATGCCCAAGATCCCAGGAGGAGAATGGAGGATGAGGGATTGCAGCCTGGCCACCTGCCGGGGATGACTTCTCACTTTTCCTCTCATTGTCTCTGTCTCTCTATCTCTCTTTTTCTTACAAGTGCACATGCTCTAAGGCAAAAGCTAAAAAAATAAAATCTTGAAGTAAAAGTGATTTGATAATTTCAGGGCCATAAAATTTTATAAGCCTGCTACTTATAAAATGATATTGGCATAATGGAATTTCACATATATTCTCATAATAGAATGACTAGATAGGCTTAAGAGAAAGCATTTTGAAAAGGATAAATCATGCAAGTGAATAAGTGATAGATATTGTAGTTACATTTCAATATTCACATAGAATATATCATAAACAATATCTATTAATTTTCAGATTCAAGTCTCTAAGACATCTATAAGTAAGAGAAGAAGATATCAGTTCAAAAAGCTATGAAATATTCTGGATAGTAGGTCCAGGATACTGAAAACACACTTTATTGAATCAATTGTATATAATAGCAAATAAAGAGTAGTTATTGGGGGACCAGCAGTTGGCGTAATGGCTATGTTGCTGGACTTCCATGTAATCAACCACTGTTCAAGTCCCAGACCCAGTGGCTTAAATTCACACCGGGTGTGTATGAGTGCATGCCTAGGATCCTCAGAGGAGAATGGAGGAGAAGGGATTGCAGCGTGGACATCCCCCTGGGGAGGAGGGGCTTTCTGTCTCTGTCTCTCTCTTTCTGGTGAGCGCATGCACCTTATAGTCAAAAAACAAAACAAAACAAAAAAAAAACAAAAACAAACAAAAAAACTCTCAAAAACAACAAGAGTAGTTATTAGAAAAAAACAACCAAAAAATAAAAATAAATTGTCTGCCACTTATTATTTATTTACTATAAGCCTAACCTAATGTCTAAATTAAATTGGTATCTATACAAATTCCAGTATTAATTACTCATGCCTCAATTCTCACATAAATAACTATATTAATAAACAGTAATGTGTTCTGATTTTGTTTCCTTTAAATACTTTAGCATAGTACTTGATACATATTGAATATTCAGCAAGTGATAACTATTCCTTATCCATTAAGAAAATTATTTTAAAAAATTCACAGGTCTAGCACTTAATCCTTTAATGTTATTATTTATTTTATTTGAAGAATCAACTTAAGGTGCATGAGACTAAATTTATAATCGATGAGCTATACAGCCATTTTTCCTCAGCATCTGAAAGTAGCATGTAGTTTCTTCTCTCAGAAAATGTGCCCTATGAGATGTGTTAAAAGAACAACTTTTACTACTGCTGGCATATGGCAAGACCCGTAACTGGACACAGCTCACTACTTCTGAAATCAAAAGTAATATGAAAGCATGTTAAGTAAACTATAAGCTATCAACACATTAGACCAGATGAAAAATAGAAATGAGTTTTTTCCATGCTGACTACTGGTCATTATCACGATCTCTATTCTCATAAAAAATGTTTAAACTTTCAAAAATAAGAGCTATAGATTGGTTCAACTTTGCCTTTTGTTACATTTTAGAGGTAGCAAATCTATGACGCTAGATCAAAAACTATAATGGTGAAATATACACTGGCATATTATGGAAAAGTACTCATTATTTTCATAATAAAGTTGAAACTATCACTATTTAAGTGGTGATCTGGTTAAGTATATGCCCAAATTTTTCTTGGAATGCCACTGATTTCCAATATGACCTTGAGGAAGTCACTTAACCTCCTTTCTAAGTTTCCTTAGATATAAAATGACAATAATTGCAACTGATACCCATCTTCCATAAAGGGAACAGAGTCGATTGTTGGATAACATTGAGGCTGACCCTGTCGTGGCCAGAGAGCTCATCCGTTGCACTCTATTATCTTAATAACACCTCAACTCACATGGTGAATTTCAATCAACCGATGCTTACTTCTGACAAAATAAGGGCCAAAGTTGAGCAAGAGTTTGCAAAATAAAAAATTCTAGAGAATTCTGGTCCTTTTTCACAAGGGCAAACAATAACTAGACAATATATTACAGGCTGACATCTTTACTAAATGTTTTAAGTGCTTCTATGAATGATTTATTATGTCATCAATTAATTTTAGTCACTATGGGAATTTCAAAATAGGACTCAAGAAAATACATGATGTGTAGGCATTCTGGGTAAAAACTGCTTTTTAAATTGTTTTATGCAGGATAAGCAAAGAAACTGCTATGAAGTTTAAGACAAATCAAGAAAGTAGAATCTCTGATGTATATGAAGTCAAATATGTATCTTTGCTCAGATTTGCAGAGCTAAACTCTGATATAAATAACTTTCAAAGTTTTTTTTTGAATCATTGCCATCTGAATGAGATTATATTGTGTGTCTATTGATTTTGGAATTTATTAGAAGACAGTAAGAATGGCTAACACTTATATAAATGACACCTTTTTCAGCACTACACATAGATTTAAACTTCAACCTTCAGAGCAACTTTGTGAGGTATTATTGTTATCCAAATTTTATAGATGGAGAAATTGAGCCTTTCTAAAAGGCTAAGCAATTGACTCAAAATTATAGTGTTAGTCCATGACAGAACCAGGATACAAACCAGAAAATCAGCCTCTAGATATTCACATAATACCAAAATAACCTCCTTGATGGTATTTCTCTATAACTTTTCTGTAAGTTTTTAAATGATTTGTTCTCCAAAGTACAGCCACATATCTTTTAGAATCTAATTTCCTCACCTGTAAATTAGATACAATGATATTCACTTCACAGGTTGTTTAGAGATTAAATTATAACATATATGTAAACATACTTTTAAAATTCTTCACTGTCACTTACAATACTGGATTCAGTTCTTCACACTGTACAGTGATTCTCAGAATTCTATACTTAATGCTACTCTCATTTTGCTTTGCTTTACTTTTTCTTTCTTTTTTTTTTTTTGAGAGGTTTTGTTTTTCCTTTTTTTTCTTTATGAATTTATTTTATCCATTAATGAAAGAGAGACAGAGACAGAGACAGAGAGGCACTCTCAACAGGGTCTTTATGCCATAGTCCACCACCAAGCTCAGCTAGCCCCAGATCATGATCACATGTGTGCCTAGCACGTTCAGAAAACTCTCAACATGAATCTGGAGTGTTCTCACATGGGTCAGTCTCACAGCATATTGTGTTATCACCGCATCCCTGTCTAGCCCCATTATCCTCTATTTTTCATGCTAAAGTTTTATTCTCCCATTAGTATGTAGGGCATTTTTAATTATATATTTGATCTGCAGTTTTTGTTTTGTTTGGTTTTGGTTTTGTTTTTGTTTGGAGATGTTTTTGCTATAGGGCACATGTGCTTGCCAGAAAGACAGACAGAGACAGAGAGATAGAAAGCAAGAAATCACTCTCCAGGGGGGATGGCCACATCACAATCCCTTCTCTTCCACTTTTCTCTTGGGATCTTGGGCACACATGCACACGCACCCAGAGTGAGTTTAAGTCGTCGGGTTCGGGACTCTTAACAGCAGTCAACTACATGGGAGTCCAGTGA